GTTCGGATTCGTAATCTACGCATCAAAATACGTAAGTACACTTAAAATTCTTTTCAAAATCGCCGGTTGCCCTCAAAACGAATATTTACCCAGATTTCTACACATCTACTGCACATCTTGAGGGAGAGGCTTCTCATCGGCCATGACTCAGTCCGGCAGATGTACTATTTTCATCCGTTTTGAAAATATTTGGGGTGGAAAGATACTATTGGGGAGCCCTGTATGTTGATTTCATTCACCAATAACATATTCCGTATCCGTAGCCACCATTACTACCCTTATATTCATGACAGATTAGCAGACCGTTGAGATGTCAACTCAAAATCCATAAAAGTCAAATCATGAAATGAAACAGTTAAATTTTAGTTAATAATGTCATTCAATTTCCTGAGTAGATTTCGAAGGAATAAAAACACATCTAAATATGGATGCCAACGTGTGAAAGTGTCCGATTACTGCAAAAAAGCTGAGAGAGCAAGGGGAAAAAAAGTTTCTAAGACTAAATCGAGAAAATCAACGCCACGAAAGAGTTCGAGGAAGTCAAAATCCAGAAAAGGTTCGAGAAGGTCAAGATCACGAAAACGGCAGAAGAGGTCAAAATCCAGAAGAGCATCAAGATCTAAATCGCGAAAGGGGTCGAGGTCAAAGTCACGAAAGAGGTTGAAAAGGTCAAAATTACGGAAGGCATCGAAGTCAAAATCACGAAAGGGGTTGAGCAGGTCAAAATCACGCAAAGCGTCGAGGTCAAAATCACGAAAGGGGTTGAGCAGGTCAAAATCACGGAAAGCGTCAAGGTCAAAATCACGAAAGGGGTTGAGCAGGTCAAAATCACGAAAATCGTCAAGGTCAAAATCACGAAAGGGGCTGGGTAGATCAAAATCACGAAAAAGATCAAGGTCAAAATCACGAAAGGGGTTGAGTAGGTCAAAATCAAGAAAAGCGTCAAGGTCAAAATCACGAAAGAGGTTGAGTAGGTCAAAATCGCGTAGGAGGTTGAGTAGTTCTCAAAAANCAGTTGTTATGAAACATTTGGCAAATTTGGCTGGTAATGGTGTATTTCTTCTGATAATAGTGCTCATTAAATCCTTATGAACGCCAACTCCTAATGACAACGGAGTCACTTCTGTTAATTTATATTTTTCCGCACTCGCATAATCATTTTTGAGAATTGCTGCTTGGAGACAAGCTCCAATCGCAACAGCTTCGTCCGGGTTCAAATCAGTTTTGAGAATTTTCCTTCCAAATAACCTCTCCAGCAGATTTCTGATTCTTGGAATTCTTGTTGACCCTCCCACCAAAACTATTTCTTTCACTTTAGATTTATTCCAACCTGCATCATCAAGTCCATATTCCACAATATCTATAGCTTTCTGAAAAATATCTTTAGTTAATTTTTCGAATTTTGATTTCTTAAGCGATAATTCGAAGTCATTGTAACCATCGTAACACTCGATCACTGTTGAAAATTCATCCAGACTTGATAACTGTTTTTTCAAGTCCTCGCATGCTTGTTGCAGTCGCCGAGCGAATCTATCTTTGTCTACTGGTCTATAAAAATGCTCGAACAGTCTCTCATCGATATTTCTCCCACCGCACAAGGTATCTCCATAAACAGACTTGACTTCAAAAATTTTATTTTTCACCTCTACTAAAGACACATCAAGGGTTCCTCCTCCCCAATCGAAAACTAATAATTTTGTTGCCACGTTTTTGTCTTGCACGTAATGAAGTGCTCCGGCAGAAGGTTCCGTGATGAACTTCAATAATTTGAGTTCAGCCAATTCAACCGCCTTCTTGGTAGCTTTTCTTTGAGCGTTACTGAAATATGCAGGTATAGATACAACAACATCTGTAACATCTCTTCCTAGGTAGTCACTGGCCATTCGTTTCAGATATTTCAATATCTCTGCACTAACCTCTTCTGGTGTTTTTGTAACTGTCTCATACTTTACATTCAACTGATAAACGGCTTTATCATCAACCCCTCGTACCAAAGAAAACTGAATGTTCTTTTGCAGGTGATATCTTGAGATGAATTCGTCATCGAATTTTCTTCCAATGAGCCGTTTAGAATCTGAAACACGATAAAATGAACCATCAAACGAGAATAATTTAAAATGTGACAAGAAAATAAAACTTTTATTCACTAAGGATCATATAAAATGTTCCATTCAGTAAATTATTTGCTACTGAATGTGATATTGACATTTAGATCGAGGCCACTTCTGATAGGTATTATTTTCGATATTTCAAAATATTACTTAGATAATCCCATTGGTTGGGCTACGTATCTGGGGCGTCCCTAGGTGGCGGATATGGGAACGGCCAGGGACTGGCAGCCCTGTCAGGAAAGCCAATGTGGCCTTACGGACGGGGTCGCCGGACTCCTGGTCAATGGCAGAAATAAGTAGGGTGAGGGGAACTAAAACTCCTCGAAAGCCTTTGCAAAACATGCCACCGTGGACCAGCCTACCCAAGCTAAGGTATAAGTAATCGTGCCGACAGCTGAATGGCCTTCCCTTGCTAACAACAGTTTGTCCAGTTTTAGGGATGTGAAATGTGGTATTCCACAGGGTTCCGTATTGGGCCCATTGTGGTCAAATCATATTAAGCAGTTGAACTTGAAACTGCCCAGCTCACTTTTCAACTCACGACAACTTCGCCTTATTACCAACACTAATACTCCTAGAATCGCTTACTTCTCTCTATTTGAAACCCATCTTAATTATGGAATATTGCTTTGGGGTGGCTCATGTGCTGCATGTAGTGTATTTCGACAGCAAAAAAAAGGTATAAGGATCTTGGCTGATGCCAAGTATAGAGAGACTGCCAGACCACTGTTCAAAAAGTTGAAGATCATGACTCTTCCTTGCCTATTAATTTTAAGTACTCTTGTGGAGATCCATAAGAATCTACCAAACTTAGTTACACAGTCTGATATTCATCAACATAATACTAGAGGAGCACACAATATCAGAGTACCCAGATATAAACTTACCAAATCGGCAAATAATTCTTTAAATTTTAGCTTATATAATATCCTTCCAGATG